TGAGTAGTGAGAACCAGTTTGTATTAAATATTAGCTAAAAACTCAAGTTTTCAAAATTCTTTTTTTTTATTCATTTTATTTAATTTTATTTTTTTTATATTTATTTATTTTATAATTAATTGAGTAGTAAGATCCAATTCATATCAAATATCAGCTGGAAACTCAAGTTTTCAAATTCTTTTTTTTATTCATTTTTATTTTATTTTTATATTTTTTTATTATATAATTAATTGAGTAGTAAGATCCAGTTTGTACCAATTATTGGCTGAAGACTCAAGTTTTTTAAAAAAATAATTTGTATATAATATGCATTATATAGCAATATTATTAATAAAATTATTACTTTTATACAAATATATCATTAATTCTTATATAAGTGAATCAGAATTACTGAATATTATAGTAAAATAAATATTTAGCCTGCACTAAAGATGCCAGCTGAAACTCACTCAAAATAATTTCATCATATCCCTTACTATGTTTTTAATATAGTTTTGACTAATTTTAGGTTTTGGGATTTTATCATACCCCTTACTAGTGATGTACATTTTCGATGTCCCAAATATTTTGAGACTGTTTTACACTATGTTTCAAAATGTCTCACATTAAGTTCCAATGTTTCAGGTCATGTCCCAAAAATGTCTTATGATAATACTATATTTTAATATAATTTCGGCTATTTATTAATTGCCTTTTTGAGTTTCGTCTCTCATTCTTTAGCCTGTATATTAAAGTATCGTATATAATGAACTTATGTCTAAAACTCTAAAATTAATAAGATCTGAAAATACAATATTTAAAGTATTTCATTGTTTTAAATATAAAACAAATTGCATAAGTTTGCGATAATATTTTATTAACTTATGACATCAAATGTTAAAAAACAAATTATGACTGACCTAATGCAATTATGATAGGTAGTGATATAAGAATTATATATATTTATAAATTGATATAATTAACTAATTTAATAAAGAGTTACATTTTTTTGTTTAAAACTAAACGTAACATTATTTTTAAAATTTAATAATCTTAGATCAATTCTAGTGTTAAATATAATAAACAATATATATCAAAATTTCTTATGAGTGAGATCTATCACGATTATATTGATTATCATTTTCACCATCTAGACTCTCCAATCCTTTTTTCTCCTTAATCCTTCGCTAAAATTAAAAAAATTAATATTACTTTATATAATACTACTTAGATCTTGTAATACTTTGTAATACTTATCAAATATTTATTTACTAGATCCATAATTGATTCATCAATTGTTATATGTTCAATTGTCAGATTTAATATAGTATAGAAATGCTAATTGCGAATGCAACATGTAGCATAAGTGCATTACTGTAGTTATTCCAAAACTTTCCTAAAATCCTAGAAATATACAAGTCTTTTATATTATCATTTGTAGGTTTGAATAAATTGTCAAAGCATTCTTTACAGAAGACAATGCTTTCCATTTGTAAATTTCAGTAGGGGTCAAATTTGTGTTTATTGGTGGTAAATTCTGTTCCCTATATGCAGAAAATAAAGTTTCCTTTATTTTAGATGTTAATAACCCCTAAAGACTTCGCAATTTATTATTTAACTATTTAAATAAATAAATTTATTTGTAAGTTTAAAGCTTAGATAAATAAAATAATTAATTAAAATTACTCTAAGATTACTTCATGCTTTATTTTGCCCTCATATTATGAAATCCAATATTGTTTGCTTAAATTATCAAAAAAATCAGCATGTTTAAAGATAAATAATTCTCTGTAGCTTGAAGAAATTCATCTTTTGTAAGATAAATATTATGTATCACAAATCCTTCGTAATATTTTTAATGATAATCTAAATAAATTAAAAAATTAATGATATAATAACAATATAATAAATAGTAATATAATTTAAATATTATTACTTTTGTGAATTCCTTTTCATCTTTGTGACCTACTTCCATCCTCGCAAACCAGCCTTCAATTGCTTTCTGTCTTGCTAAAAATGAACCTAACTTCAAGTTTATTTCTGAATTTTGCTTGATGATTTTCTTTAATATTTACGCATTATTATTTTCACCATCTTCAAAAATATTATCATCTAAGTCATTAATTAAAAATATTAATTATTAATTACTTCAATAAAAGAAAAATATAATATAAAAATAATTACTATCTAAATTAATAGGCGAAATCTTTCAAGTGAAAAGGCTTGACCTACTTCTCTTTGGTGTTGATTGCAGATGTGTATCAGGGTTTCACTTGCCAGAGATTAAATTGTTAAATGCTTCTCTAGTTTTGGCGATATCTCTTCTCAGCATTTTAATTTTTTATGATAAGATTGGTAAAGGGTTATTAAAAGTATTTTTTTTTATTAAAAATTTATATTTAGTTAATGAATTAGTGAAAAAATTTTCACTTATATATATATTTTTTTCACATTATAAAATTGTTTGTATTATTTTAAGAATAATTTAAATAATTAAAATGTAGGATTAAACACGTGAAGAAAACTAAGATAATAGTATTTTGAAATTTATAATACTAATTTTATTATAATTAATTATAATTAAAATGCAAGATTAACGATGTAAGGAGATTGTTCTCAAAATAAAGATTAAGAGAAATAATCGCATACATGACACATATTCAATTTATTCTAAATTCTATAGAGAAGCAAAAGTTTCACACATTCGTTTTCTTCTTTAAGCTGTATTGCAATTACTTGATTATGTTTCAAGTATAAATTTCAAATAATAAATTAATTTAAATATTACCTTTATGATCTATTCAAATTTTTACCATGACTTGCAAAATATTTATTTGTAAAATTATTTAAATAATAAATTATTCTGTATCTCACATATACATAATTTGCATATGAAAAAAAACTTATGTATGGAGTATTTGCAAAAAATCATTTTAATTTTTATAACATCTTATCATAACGATAACGTTAACAGAAAATAATTTTATTATTTAAGTATTTTATGCCAAAGTTTTAAATAAAAACAATATATGAAAATTATTTAAACAATTAAGGCAAAATCATAATGTAAATCTGCGAAATTTATTCTTTTTAAATGAACGTGATACAAAATAGTCTGTCCTCCTACTCATCAATTCGTGATTGGCTATTTTTGTTACATTTGCTCTGGACTTAAAGCAGGAGATGATTATCTATGAGTAATATAATAAATACTATAGATTTGACAAAATTAAAGGAGATTGAATTGGCATCCCTAAAAACCTCTGTTTCAGATGTGATCATTTTTTTTAGATTGAGAATCCATCATATTATATTTTTACATAACATTACACTAAAAAAAAATCCTGATAGTTGACATATTACGATTTGCATCACTTCAGAACAAATTCTAAAAATGAAATATTTGCAATATAGTATTATGTAAATTTACACAATATTAATGTGAAAAATTTCCTAATGTAACTTTTGACATGTAGAAACACAATTTAAAATTTTCAAGATAATTTCAACTACCAAGTTAAGAAGAATTTTTATTTATTCATCTTTGTCATTCTAAAATAATATTTCAACGCCTTTTCTTCTTCTTTCCTTAATCATTCTGTTTGTTTGGCTATCTTCACTTTTGTATTTTTCAGTATCTCTTTATATCATTCAGCTTTACGTATTTAGAATGAAACTTCATTTTTCAACCTTTTATTTTCTTCAAGAAGTTCTGATAAATTATTTGCTAAATGTATTGACAAATCCAAGATCTGAACTTCTTGTTCATCAATGATTTTTGTAATTCAGATGTTAATGTTTTTCATTGATGTTTGTAGTATTTTTGGTAGTTTCTTTTTCAGAATCAATGCATTTTTGATGATCAGATTACTATTTTAGTTAAAAAATTCTTATGTTCTTTTTATATACATTTTAATTATAAATCTGATATAAATATGCTTGCTTTCCCCTATTTTCATCCCTTAATGCAAATCTGTGTTTTCTCAAATACAGGTAGGCATGAAGTATATCATATAATTTTATCTTTAGGATTTACACTTTTTTCTGAAAGGGTTTTATATATTTATACATGAAGTCGAAATGAATCATTTCAGATATCCGAAATGGTCGAAATGGTCAAAATTATTTCGACTATTGGAGGCTAAAGTCACGAAATAGTCAAAATAACATCATATCACATAATTTTTATATTTAGAAAAAACAAAAAACAAAAGATGTACGATCTTGGTCAATACTGCTTCGATTTGTATGAAATAACTACCATTCGAATCCTCGCGACTATCCGAATCCAATGAGCTAACATTCATTGATTTTGGATCATCCAATCACGAGATACTCGCAATTATATTATCGGCCAAAATTATAAATCAATAAATTCTACTTTAAATAAAGGAGTCTGGATTTCGAAATATGATCGCAAATATCTCGATATGGGATGATCCAAAATCAATGAATATTAGCTCATTGGATTCGTCTAGTCACGAGGAATCGAATGGTAGTTTTTCATACGAATCGGTGCGATATTGACTGAGATCGTATATCTTTTGTTTTTTTTTGTTTTTTCTATATATAAAAAATCATGTGATATAACGTAATTTCGACTATTTCGACTTTTCATTTCGACTTTTGAGTTTTCATTTCGACTTCATGTATAGTCTATGTACTGCTATAGCAATACCACTATATTTTGCCTTTTCAATGAAGTCATGCATTGCCATTTCTGTAAATAGCTCGATCTTGACTTTGGTCATCTTGAGCATAGCATCCTAGGATAGAGAAGGCGTGAATACATAATAGCTAGGATCGAGGTCATAATGATGCATAGATGTCTTTCTAAATGTTATCCAGACATCTGCTAGACTAGGCACATCTATTTTGAGATAGAGATTATTATATTCTCCCAAGTTCTTACACCCAAATTCATTCCATACATTTTGGGCATGATTATAATCCTCTTGTAAAATCTTACCTCCAAGAATACTATGAAACTTATGAATCAGAGGTAATTTTATTTCCTTAAATCAGTCATGAGAGTCTATGTACTCATGAGAAAAGATTCCTTTGTGATCTGCTAAAGAAATCTGATCAGAAAAATAGCCTTATTCTTGAAATACTCAGTCGTAATTGGGTGGTTATCACCCAAATTCTTTATAAGAGAGGCCAAGCTAGAATTCATAAATTGCATACTATCAATATACTTAAGTTGACCTACCTTCATAGATTTGTATCGCTCAAATGTTTCAGCAATAACAGTAATTTGAAGAAAATTCCAACAGATTTACAGACCAAGTAAGAGTTATATCCCCGAAAGTTATGGAATATAATTGGGATTGGCGTCTTCCATGACTAAGGTTGCTGGATAAAACCTATAGGTTTAGACAACTGGTAAAATTAAAATCAGTTTAAATGTTTTGACGAAAAGCTTTAAAAATGTGAAACTGCGAAACATTTTGCAGGTTTCGCAATTTCACAAAATTTTTATATGGTATTTAATAGAATTTTACTAATTTATATAGTATTAGAACATATAGAGCTCCGAATCAGGTCAGGTTAACCTGTGACCTGACCCGATCTGACCTAAAAAATCCAGGTTAGGTAAAAAAATTTTCAGGTCAACATCAGGTCAGGTCAAGCTTATGACCCAACATGATAAAATTCAGGTCAACCAATCAAATTAAACGAAATAAAATATTGAAAAAAATTTTTTGTCTATTTTTTTTTTAAAACATCTTTAATTTTATTTAATATACTTTCTTTTATATTCTAATAAAGTTGTTTGTATAATTACTTTGTAATTTATTATAATCAAAAAGTTAAATTTTAAATTTTAAACATTTTTGCAATTACATTGCTCAACAATTTAATTTTAATTTTTTTTTTATCCGTTCAATTACTTCAAAGAGATATTTGAGCAATTTGGTTAATGAAAATTGACTTTTATTGCATAAGTAAAGTTGCTCGGCGGGTTCGAAAATACGTGTATATAAATTTTTATTATGATTAGATTAATAGTTATAAAGTTATAAATGTTTTTCGTAATTGTATTATCTCACAAATTTTTTTTATTTTTATTTTTTATCTAAACAGTGACTTAAAAGAGCAATTTAAGTATTATGGTCAAAGGAAATCAACTTTGATCGCGTAAGTAAAGTTGTTCAGCGGGTTCGTAAATATGTGTATATAAAATTTTATTATGATTGGATTAATAGTTGTAAAGTTATATACGTTTTTCGTAATTGTATTATCTCACGAATATTTTTATTTTTATTTTTTTATCCATACAGTGACTTCAAAGAACAATTTAAGTATTTTAGTCAAAGGAAATTAATAATAATCGCATAAGTAAAGTTGTTCAGCAGGTTCAAAAATATGTGCATATAAAATTTTATTATGATTGGATTAATGATTGTAAAGTTATGAACATTTTTTGTATTTATATTATCTCACAAATTTTTTTATTTTATTTTTTATCTGTATAGTGACTTCAAAGAACAATTTAAGTATTTTGGTCAAAAGAAATCAACTTTGGTCGCGTAAGTAATATTAATCAGCAGGTTTGAAAATATATGTATATAAATTTTATTATGATTGGATTAATGCTTGTGAAGTTATGTACGTTTTTCGTATTTATATTATCTCACGAATTTTTTTATTTTTATTTTTTATCTGTAAGTATTATGGTCAAAGGAAATCAACTTTGGTCGCATAAGTAAAGTTGTTCAGCGGGTTTGAAAATATGTGTATATAAAATTATATTATGATTGAATTAATGGTTGTAATGTTATACACGTTTTTCGTAATTGTATTATCTCACAAATTTTTTTATTTTTATTTTTTATCTGTACAGTAATTCAAAGAGCAATTTAAGTATTTTGGTCAAAGGAAATCAACTTTGGTCGCATAAGTAAAGTTATTTAGCGTGTTCGAAAATATGTGCATATAAAATTTTATTATGATTGGATTAATGGTTATAAAGTTATGAAAGTTTTTTATAATTGTATTAGCAGTCACCAGATTTGCAAATTTATCGCAACTTATAATTTTAAAGTCTGCAGTTAAAATAATTATATTAGTATCTTTTTTTTTTTGAAAAATAATCAAATGTAAAAATGTATCAATATTTTTTTATATTTTTTTAAAAAAATATTAAACAAAATTAATAATTGTTTAATTTCCTTTTTTAGACAGGTCAGGTCAGGTTGGGTTGGGTCAGGTCAAATGTATATTTAATTCAGGTCAATTTTATGTCTGACCCGACCTGACCTTATCAGATCAGGTCAAGTCAATTATCTGACCAACCCAACCTATTCAGAACTCTATGCAAAAGTTTAAATGTTTGCAATAGTTTAAATGTTATGCAACAGTTTAAACATTTTGCAATAGTTTAAACGTTTTGCATAAGTTTAAACATTTTGCAATGATTTAAACGTTATACAATAGTTTAAACATTTTGCAATAGTTTAAACGTTTTGCATAAGTTTAAATGTTTTACAATAGTTTAAACATTATGCAATAGTTTAAACGTTTTGCAATAGTTTAAACATTTTGCAATAGTTTAAACGTTTTACAATAGTTTTAAGTTTTGCAATAGTTTAAATTGCATTAATTAAAATTTTACCGTTTTGCATTTTCTAAAATAATTTAGCCAAGCAACCTTATCCATGATTCAATTTGAAGTTTAAGATTGCAAGTATTATGGGATGCCTCTCAGAACTTACCTGTGATATGACAGTAATCCCAAACCTTTTTATCTCTAGCTACTTTCCTAGCAAGTTCTGTTTGTGCTTTAGAGATTGCCAATTTTAAGGATTTATAGTAAAGATGGGAACTGTAATTAATATGTTGTAACTTTTAATGTTGCAACTTACGTTACAATTAGTTTTAACCTATATATGTTGCAACTTATAATGTTGCAACATTTTGTAAATTTGAAATCAATTACTGTATCATTTTTAATTTATAGGATTCTTAACAGCCTTTAGCAATTCTATATAGAGATTTTAAGATCCTTTTCTGATTTGGTACTCTTTTCCATTTCCCAGATTCTCTTTGATATATCTTTAGGTGAATTTATCTTATTATTCGATTTAGGATCTTGAACAATTTCTGTAAGTTTGTCGGTAGATTTGCAATTTTTTTTTCTAATCTATTAATCATATCTGTATCTATACTAAACTTGTCTTCACAGATCCAGCACTTATCTGCTTCTTTAAACCTTCTTTGGTAGTTATCTGTAATAATACGCTTATGCTTAACAGTTAAGACCTTATTTATTTCTACCAATTCTTGATCGATCCTTCGAATGAATTCTTCTGTGGCATTTTCTCCATGATATAAGAAGGGCCTATGTTTCTCCAGTATCAATCCAGTAGACTTTATAGCTAAAACTATTAGCTTCTTCCCCTGCTATCTTTCACATATTTTCACCATAATTTGTGTTACACTTCTTTTTTAATGACTCGAAATCTGCAATGATAATACATGAGGCATTGATCTGACGCCTATAATTTCTAAACTCTTCAAAATCATTAACATCTTTTACAGGCATAGTGACTCTTTGTGAGGCTTTACCCAATCCAAAACACCATTGCTGGTGATGGTTTAATGATTTTATAGATAGAAAACTTTGAAAGCATCGGTTGCATAAATATTTCTTTTCTTTATGAGATGTATCCTTATTTACTAATCCATTCAGATTCTTAATCCAGAGAAAGTGATCTTTTTGCCAATACTTACCTTCCTCTGATTTGGTAATATCTGTAAGGGCTATAAGATAGATAATATGTTGCCTGTTATAGTTTTTACTATAAAGAATGGGTTTAGAAGTATGTGTTTCTTCTTTCCACTTCCAAATATTTATGGAGATATCTGGATTCATCTTCTCAATCTTTTGAAATGTTCGTGGATAAATTGAAGTAGGCATTGGGATTTCATCGAGCTTGACCACATCTAAGTATGGTTTATATTTTGTAGCTCGAAAGATTCATTCAAGATGATCTATATGTCCATCTTGATGGGTAAAATAATAACCTAAAGCACCTTGAAGACATTTTTCAGAAGGTTTTTTGTCTCTAGATCAATGAGACCTTTATTATCTGGATTAATTGTACATTTTGTATTGGAGAGTTTTTTGAAAGTATCAATGTAAGAACCTCCAAAAGCTCGACGAAGTGTATATGACTCTATAAGTATCATTTCTAATCGGAGAAGGATTTTACCTGATTCTTCTTTCAAATATCTCTAGATATTTTGATCGATTTCTACATCAGATTGGGTTATATGCTCATCTATATATTGTTCTAAAAGAATTTCACATTGGTAGTTTTTATGATATGGATGATGATATTTGGCAGTATAGTTTACCATATCTGAAGGATCATCTAATCCATTATATTTGTAAGATATATATGTAGCATTTACGACTAATGTTGATTTTATTTGATTCCTTCTATAAACCTCCTCTTTGAAAACATTTGTAATTGCATTACGTGCTGATACTATGAGATGAGGCATATATGATACATCTGCATATTCTTTTGAATTGTCTTGCTTTTTATTGAATGTATATGCTGGATTTTTATATGATGGAATAACCCCCTCCCATACAGTCATACAATTAAGAGAGCTGTGTTGTCTTTCAGGAGTGCGTTCTCTTTCTAAAAATACTATATCATCATTAGATGATTCCTTCTCTTTGTAAATTCCTTCTGCTTTCTCATAAATTGACCAGAAATGCTTTGTCTTAGCATATTCCTGAGTGTCTTGTCACTTAACTTCACTAGATTCTTTCTCACCAATTAATTCCTTCATATATTCTTCATTAAACATCTCAATACTAGATGATAATCCCTCTCTGTGAGCTTGAGTTGATGGACCAGGACCTGCTTCAGAATCAGGAGTTTGGTTAATCACTTTTGACTTCTCCTTTGACTAGAAGTCTCAGAAGCTTGGGTAACCACTTCTGCTTGTGATTTAGGAGATTTTGGTTGAACAGAATTCGGTATTGATAATTGAATAGGTTCAGTTAAATTTTGACCCTATAAGAAATTTATATACGGAATTGTATACGGTAATAATACGTTTTAATATTCGTAAAAAATGTATAAAATAT